GAAAGGGAAATAAAAAATTTATTTAAATGAAAGGGATGGAAGTGAGTTCTAAGAAAAATATGATGAGAGTGAGTTGTATAATTTTTATGAAGTTAAGTTTTTTAAAGAATTAAAATTTTGTAAACTAAATAAGCAAATTTCAAGGTTTCACTTTTACTCTCACTTCTTTCATCCCAATTCGAACAAACCAAACAAGGCACAAGTGATCTCAGTGAGAGGATTTGTCAATGAAACGCAGAAGAAAATGGCACCTTGGTGCTTATAATTCTAAAATTTTTCTCGCAGGCCTGCATGACTGATGTTACAAATTGTTTTGACTTTACCCTCTCAATTAAAAAATATGAAATATTTTTAATATTTTAAAATATAATTATTGTGTCTTTTTCTAAAGGTGTCTTGATAAGTAAATTATTTTATTTTAAAATAAAATATCATATTAAATATATGGTAAATATAGAAAGATGATATTAGTTTAAATATAATTAACTATTTTATTGAAAGATGATATTCAATTAAAAATATCTTATTTTTTTTAATAAAAGAAGTAAAAATATAAAATATATGTGATACAAATGGAAGATGTTGTCCTGTAATTGACAATTAAGATGTTTAAATATTGACCACAAGATGTTGGAGTAATTTTCTTTGAGGTTATCATTTACTAAAAACTAATTTCAGAAAATTAAAATAAAAATTATAAAAACACGAAAGCATTTTTAAGGTAAATATTGTAACACTATGGAATTACTTTGGCATATTTTAGAACACATATTCCCATTTGAAATAAATTAATGAGGCTAAATCTATCATTGCTATTAAGAATTACAATTGACTAAATAAAATTCTTATGATTCAATAAATTTAATAAACCAAATGAACTTTAATTGATTCACATTAGCAATCATTATAACAGATGTTATATAGTTCACCAAGCTATCAATATAGCTGAACTCATAACTATAACATTATAAAAAAAATATCCTTGCAATTTTCACATATCCATCATACCTTAGACATATCATTATAATTTTGGAAGTTCATGCCAATTACCTCAAGAAATAGCAAGACAAAAATGATAATACTTATATACCTATATTAAATTTCATTCAGCATAAGGCTTGGAGCAAAGGCATCATTGTCAAATTATAACAACTTGAAATAAGAGGCTGCAGACAAGAAAAATGTGGATAACAAAAAAAAAGGTTAAATTCTCAAAATTTTATATTTGCACTTTCTTAAAAAGGATCTTATGCTTGATCTCTAGTTGAAGATGGTGTTTAAAATGTACTCTTTGTATTCTTGGTATTGTATTCTTTGTATTGTTACAGATCTACAACTGCAAGATGCTGCATTTTGTATTCTAGTTCTGAGATTGACTATAATTATAATCAAACAAATACTAAATATTAGTAAAAATAATAATTAAATATTAAATTAATATTTAATATATTATTTTTTTAATAAATAATGTACAAAGGTGGCATTTTGTTTGAAGAACAAATGCCATCCCTTTAACTAAAAATTAAAAAAAATAGCTATAATATTTATTAATAATAAGTAAATATTAGTTAATAATAGATATATGTATACAATTAAAGTACTAATAAAATACTTATAAAATATTAATATCGTTATTTCTATTAATAATTACCTATATTACTTAATAATTATAATTAAACAAATACTAAATATTAGTAAAAATAATAATTAAATATTGAATTAATTTTTATTTATTAATATTTAATATATTATTTTTAATAAATGATGTAGAGAGAGGATGTTTGTTTGAACCCCTCTGATTAAAAAGTAAAAAGAAATGAGGATAATATTTATCAATAATAAGTAAATATTTAGTTAATAATAGATATGTATAAAATTAAAGTACTAGTAAAATACTTATAAAAATATTAATATAGTTATTACTATTAATAATTATCTATATTGCTTAATAATTATAAACAAACAAAGACTAAATATTAGTAAAAATAATAATTAAATATTCAATTAATCTTTATTTATTAATATTGAGTATATTATTTTTTTAATAAATAATGTAGAGAGATGGCGTTTGTTTGAGAACAAATGCCACCTCTCTGACTAAAAATTAAAAAAAATTAGCTATAATATTTATTAACAATAAATAAATATTTAGTTAATAATAGATATATGTATATAATTAAAATACCAATAAATACTTATAAAGATATTAATATGGTTATTGCTATTAAAATTTACCTATATTACTTAATAATTATAATCAAATAAATACTAAATATTAGTAAAAATGATAATTAAAATTGAATTAATCTTTATTTATTAATATTTAATATATTATTTTTTAATATATGATATAGAGAGGTGGCATTTGTCTATAGAATAAACACCACTTCTCTCTTAAACATAAAAAAATTTTATAATATTTAATAATAATAATAATAAAAAAATAATTAGTTAATAAATAAGAGAGGTGCCGTTTAAAAGATCTACAAATGCCACCTCTCCTCGAATATAAAAATATTTAAATTAATTTTTAATATTATATAATAAATAATTTAAATATATTATAAAAATATTAAGAGTAAAAATATTTTTTAGTAGTTTAAGGTGAGAGGTGGTGTTTCTCCTCCAAAAAAATGCCACTTGTCTTTTTAAAAATTAAAATATTTATTTAAGTAATATTTAAATATATAATATTTTTAATACTTTAAAGGTAGAGGTGGCATTTTTTTCAATAAATGCCACCTATCTCAATAATGATAAATAAAATATTATCTATTTATTAAATATAATAAAAAGTTATAAATCAATAAAATTAATTTATTATTATGTAATAAAATGATTAATATCTAAATTTATATTATTTAAGATATTATAGATTAGTATTGATAATTATTACATATTTTATTTAGCAATTTTTTTTTAAGATAGGTGGCGTTTGACACCATCTCTTCAATTTAGTTATTAACTTTTTTAATAAATCAGAGAGGTGATATTTTCATAGAAAAGAAATGCCACCTATATTATTTTAAATTATTAAAAAAATTGTACATACAGATTATTTATACTTATTGTGTATTTATAATAAAATAATTATATATATTACAAATAAAATAATTATTTATAATGAAGTAAAGAGGTAGCGTTTAAATTCTGAAATACCACCTAGTCATTGATCAACATAAATCTGTGGCATTTTATTTTAAAAATACCCACCTCTATGAATTTACTATAATTATAAAATAAAAATAATAATTTGAAAGCTATGGTATTTGATAAAACAAACGTCACCTTTTTTCTTTAGATTTGAGATTGATAACATTTATTTTTTATTACTATGAAATGCATGCTATTAAATATTATTTCTATAGTAGTGATAGAAATAAAAACCAACCTTCATTTTCTTCCAAAAAATTCTTCTTCCTCTGCATTGCAATATTTAAATGAGAGTGAATTCTTGCTAGAAGGACCCTGAAATCAAATACAGAAGTGCAGATACAAGCAATGATTGTCATTACGATTTCCTTGGATAAAATTTTCATCGACAATATAAGGCTAAGGGGGTGGATATTTGAGAGGGGAAAAGTCAAGAATAAAATTAAACTACTATATAGAAGATTAATCACTTATCATCCATACAAAAGTAATATACAAAGAGTAATGTTTTTTAATGAAATTTTTTCATTTTAAGCCTTTTTTTTTCAAGACATTTACTATTTATTGAAATATTTTCAAGATTGTCATCAAGACTTTCGATGACATGAAGCTTATAGTGAGAAATTCAAGCTTGGTTCTACCTAAATAGGATCTAGTAGCATATTCAGTCTCATGCGAAGAAAAGGTCCAGACTTAGGAGAATCAATAAAGAAATGAAAGGATTGAATAAAGAAAAGAAAGTCATAGCAGGATGTAAATTAATTGGGTCAAAAAAGCAGGATATAGATTAAGAGAATTAATAAATTGAAGGTTGCCTCCAAACTTGAGAGTTGTGGGAGGCTTTGCCATTGGTGTTATTTGATTTCCAGCAAGAAAAAGATACTGTGAAAAAAAAAAAAGATTTCACATTACCAGAAGCTAAGCATCATACTCTAATTCGAAAGCTCTAAAGCACTATTTACACGTGAAATTTAATAAGCCTGCAACATTTTGATAAACCGGCCCCCTTAAAGTAATTTAAATGCAAATCAAGATTTTGGCATGGAAATCATGGTGCAAACCATTGGAAAGGAAATTCACTCCAGCGCCTTCCACCCGAACCCATAAGCAATAGTCAATTAATAACTAAAAGAAAGAATTTAAGCAAAAAAAATCAATCTTATAAGTTAGTATGCAAATAAAACCACCTCAAACTTCAACTATAATATGTCAATTTGGTCTATGATTGACATCTAGTTTTCAGGAAAAAAATACAACAAAAAAATATCAAAGAAGATAAAAGGAGTAGTAAGAAGAAAAATGACCTTGATAAAGCTCTATAGAAGCAAAACCATATGTGTATTTAATTGTTTTTTGGCCAAAATTTTTGGGACAAGGTCAAAATGAGTTAAGAAAAATTTTCTAACATATTCCAAAAAAGAAATTTAAAGTGCTATAAAAGATCAATAAATATATTTGAAATGCATCGAAAAACAACGAAACATATAAATACATCACAAGGAACTAAAATTTATCAAAATATTTTACATTCACAATTGTTTCAGCATAAATACATATTAAAAAGAAAAGTCTTTGTGTTAATTCCTATTTATCCGGGCATATTAGAAGAAACCCTACCTGGAAAGATTACCTAGGTGTTATTTGACTTCCATCATCCAGGTAATTTGTAACTATGCTTTTTAATAAATCATCACTAGTTGTGAAATCAAAGTAGTGACACTCAACCATATAA